CACATGCGGAATAGATAAATCACACATAACATAACCAAGGACATTCGACAATGAAGTCCTTTCTCATGTAACCAAACCCTAAACCACGAATTGACAACTTCCTTCCATTGTCCCTTTTACCTCACACGGCCCTAACCACAAAGGGTAAAAGACCAGTGATCCGACATGTAATACACCGGCCCTAGGCTGCAATCCCGTTCCTCCGTGACTAGCAATATCTGGAAGTGCCAACCGCTCTCTACAATTGTTAGAACATTATATGATCCTCTTGATCACTTGTAACGCCTAACCTCACACACAACATAAAAGTTTACCTTTGACCCGCATGTATCTAGACAGATCACACGCGGATCTGCTTCCTCTTGAAATCCTGCATCCACAAAGGTTAGTGGCAAATACAAACATAAACATCCCATGACTCATGCAGCATGCAATCACACAATCAAACATCATGCACAAACAATCAAAGAAAATACTTAACCAAATTCCTAAAATTCTAGCAAGAACCTCCATGGCTATAAAACATAACAATAAACAAGCAACGTGTGCTCTACTCATCTAGCACACGACAAGCATCACCAAGACTCACCTTATTCAAACGGTTAGGACTTAGACTCGGACTTAGGCTTAGAACGGATCTAGATTCCTCAACTACTCCACGATCTATCAAATCTTCCCTTTCCTTAAAACGGACAGAGTTTCGGCTTGAATCTCGATCATTCCAACCATCAAAACCACAAAGGGTTGGATTCAAGATCACAAGACGAAACTAAGTCAGATAGAAAAGTTAGGATCGGAACGCCTTACCCTAAAAACTTCACGGCACTACTGGATGTTTTCCGACAACAGACCGCGGATTGGATCACGATCACGAACTATTTTAGTAAGAGGTTTGGAAACGTTTTCTATGTAAGAAATGAGAGCTACTTGGTCCTATTTATAGGGTTAAGCAAGTAGGTAGGCACAGTAGGACGGTCAGAAGTGTGTGTCGTGCTTCCCGATGAATCGTTGCATACAGTCGCGACACTCGTGCTTTCAGATTTGTCGTGCTTGTGAATTTGTCGTGCTTGCGGATTTATCGTGCTTGTGGATTTATCGTGCTTCCGATGACTCGTCACACAAGATCGCGACACCTCGTCTTACGGGATTTGTCGTGCTTGCGGATTTGTCGTACTTGCGGATTTGTCGTGTTTATGGATTTGTCGTGCTTCCGATGACTCGTACACAAGATCACGACACCTCGTGGTTACGAGATTTGTCATGCTTCTGATTTGTGGTGCTTGCAGATTTGTCGTGCTTGCGGATTCCAAGCACGTCAATCCCGAGCAGTTGTGTCTTGTTTCCGCAAACTTTTATATTTTTGTAAAAATATCAAGTTTGAAAGCACCTTGCCACCTCGTGCTTCTCGTCACGTCGTGCTTCTCGTCACGTCGTGCTTCGGGCAACCTCATGCTTAAAATCCCGTCATGCTTGACAATTTTTTTTCCATCAACTAGGTCTTGACTTGATCATCTCCCGTAACTGTTTTGATCTCCTTACAGGATCATTACAGCCGGTCTACAAAAATAATTGTCTTTGTTCGTGCTTTGTGACCGATTCTTAATAG